GACGTATATAGAACATTTCAAATATGAAATAAAGTTCAAAACAAGTAGTTAAATGAAAAGGTAATATTAACACGAACCATCCAAAACATTAAGTTAAATTGTAATAATATTACAGACAAAATCTATGTTTATGTATCAAAATTCAAGTACAAAAGTTATATTATATCACAAATGTAATAATAAAGATTACAAACAACCAGACAAGACTACTGTTATGGGTACAAAATGAAATGGATTGCATAAACCAAGTCCCTGTGCGCTGGCGTCAATTGTAATATTAAAAAATAAAAAGTTTGTTTTGAAAATTACTTTAAATGGATAGGTCGAAATTAATGAAAAAAAGAAGAACACTCGGGCGCCAGACCCATACCATATTATTAAACCATATTAGCCGGGAAAGCAATGGACTATTAATCACAAGAGAAGGCTTGATTGCAAAACCATATTCATTTTGGGTTGTCGATTTATTTAAATTTACTACAAAACTACTTAAGTCCAAAAGGGTTACTGCTAAATTTAGAAACTACTTATTATACTATGGCTGCTAAGATGTAAATGAAAATTTTACCTTATGGGTTCCGGTACAACAATAAATTTGGAAAGTTACCGAACTTGTTGCATCTGTGTAGTGGCTGTGTCTGGTGTCGTAATACTTAAGGGATGTCGCTGTTACATCACGGGACTGTTCACTTTCTCATCATGGGAAATGTTGAAAGTTGATTATAAAATCCAAATAAAAAAAAAACGCTTTTCGCTGAAAATAAATATTCCTCAGATTAGCACATGGCTCACAACAAAGGAAAAAAAGTAAAACTAAGGAAAACTCTAAGATTCTTACCGTTTTTTAAACAAATTAAGCTTGGAATGCGATACCCGCCGTTCCGAACAAAAGGTGCAAAATGTTACATCTGTAAAAGAACTGAATTCTAAAGTAAATCATTGAAATATGTGAATTAAAACACTTTTCGAATTTGGAAAAACACTTACCATCAAAAACAATCGAAAATCCAATCGTCGGGGATAGTGCAAATCCGCGAATCTACCATACGTAAAAGGTGCGTATCTGCAATAGATCCAGTTTTACAGGGGAAGGTTAAAACTTAATAACTTTATTAATTCAATTAACTTTAAGCTCATTTTTACACAAAAAGTAATTAGTAATGTGTTCTATCTCTTGGTAGAATATATATCAATTTAAGTAAATAATTAAGGCCCTACGACAATTACGCGGATTTGCTTTGACCATAAACTTATAACATTGGAACTTAAGGGGAAAGTACGCGGTTTTGAAATGAAACAAATATCATTATTTTAACAAAAATATTATTCAATGTTAAAAATAAAATTATAAAAAAATATTGAAAAATCTTTGCCTCTTACAAAAGATAGATAAAATGAATAAATGTTAGATAAATGTAACAAAATCAACATAAACTTTTTCTCTAAAAACTGTTTGAATTACACTTATAAACTAAATTACTCTTATAAACATCAAACATATAATTAAATCTTATATTTATTCAGAGGATAATCAGCCTTTTAAGTAATTTCAATTGGAAAACTTCGGAATATCACAAATCTTAAATGTATTAATGAAATAAAATTATACCCCAATCAAACAGTCTTAGTGCTTAAAATTACGTACTTAAAAAATAATAATAGGCACTAGTAGGTAATAATTAAAATCAAATTATAAAAATCAACAAAGGAACTGAACAAAAAGATATAATTTCTAACAAAAAAAGAATAACGAAATTGTTCATTTATAAGGTGTAAACAGTTAAAGATTACAATTAGTTAATAAGAGGCAGCTACGTATTAGGTATTTCTGTATGGCAAGTTGTCATAGAATTCATGGCAATCTGAAGGTATAACACTTTTTAATTGTTGTAAATGTTCATACTTTGATTTGGATATTGGCAACCTATCGGCAAAGAGCTGTGGTGGTATAAATGGCTCAATTCTTTTTGGCCTTTGTGGTAACAGTTGAAACTCGTCATTGTAGTTAAGCTTGTATTCAATTGTACCATTGGGAATGTATTTTAGTACTCTGATATCAACCACACATTTCGCACCAACCCCTCTCCCAGGGCGAATTGTATCATAAATAAAGTTATTTTTAATACTATAATCTTTAAAGAATGTGTGGTCCACTGTTGCTACCTCATATGGAGATGGATTCAGTCTAGCTTCTTTGGTAATCGAAGAGTACTGACTAGGCAAAAATATTTCACGATTTTTTAATTTTCTTTCAATTATTGAGTGAACTGAATCCACCTCCATCTGAGTGTGACCTTTTTCTAAAAATTTTTGTGTAATCACAATATTTTTTTCCATCGCCAGTAGCAGGAGAGCATTAGAAACCACAACATTTCTATTTTGTGATGTGCATCCATCACTAAAAATAACTACATCTTTTGGGCAGTCTTCTACAATTTTCTTTAAATAATCAATATAAAAAGAAGCATAAGTTGATGCTTTTAAATCAGTAGTGGTCTCATCAAACCAATAACACTTTACATTATTAGTGCCCAGATTGTAAATTGTGAAATTATGAACCATAAGCTTTGTTTTAAAATACAGTGCACTAGCTTTCAAAAATGGACACAATTTTACAGCTTGTAAGTCAGCAGTGATAAGATGGAGTGTTCCATTTTTCGCTCTTTCTTTGTCTAAAGTCTTTTCTTGTCTAGCTAAATCTTTTCGTGACAAGTGTTGCTGATATTCTTCTTCACTAATATTACCTACTTTATACGAACAACATAGATCACATGCATCTTTTTTAGGTTGAAACAATGCTATGTTTTCATCTTTTAGAACATCTTCAAATAGTTTTCTTGACGCCACTCTCTGTGCCTTTTTTTTTGCCTCTTCAACATAGATACGATATAGTTCACGTTTAGACTGTATTATTGGCTCTACATATAATTTCGTACTTTCTTTTCTGCAGTAGTGAGAAGGCATTTTGGGCAAATCCCTTAAAAATGCTTGCACAAATTCTTTTAACGTACTCGTAGGCAACGCATTATCCTCCCTTCTGTTCATTGTTGTTTCGTTACTTGGTGTCTCTCCTAACCAGTATCTTACAGTCCACTCCTTAATGCCTAATGTCCCTAAGAATGTCTTTAAACATACTCTATATTTTTGGTCATTTAATTTCAAATAGTACTCTTTTGTACTCCTTCGTCTTGAATCAGACCTTCCAGTGGTTTTTCTGTTAGTCGGTTTTTTATCTACTAAGGATGAAACAAACATTTTTTTCTCAATCCAGCTCATCTCCCAAAATTCTTTAAAAATATTTAATCGCACAGTGTCAGTAAATTTTTCACAGTTAATCACCTTGCTCCTAATACAATTGTTTGACTTACAAGCTTCCCCAAGATTTCGCGCCGGTTTAATAGAGTCTTGTACGAATTTCTCATGATCTGTCTTCCTGAAACCTATGTATTCCTGACCTAACATTCTTAACCTCTTATTTCTAAACCTTTTTGAAGACATTTTATCAGCTTTTCGTTTCCTTATTCTAGACTCAGCTGCAGCTTTATGTTCTAAGTGGCTTTCTGGAATCAGATTATTATTACTATCCGTCGATGATGAAACTATCGGTGCAACATTTGTTATTTCAGACAATGGAGTATAATTTGGATCAGCCACAGAGTCATCTGATGAAAAATCAAGGATTGAAGATCTATTTAGTGCGTCAATACAGTCATTCATCTCATAAGAAACGGATACAACGTTGTTAGTAGCAGATATGACAGGCTCAGAAACATCTGGATCACCAAATTTCAGCAGCTCTGCTGAATTGAAAGTAATTGTGTCAGAATTAGATAAATCGCTGCCATCAGGATTCTCATTGTGATTTTCAGCTTCAGCAAAACAAGTAGTAGGAACATTTTCAACAAGCTGTGTGGTATTTTCACGAGATGTAGTCTGCTTAAGCAGAATTTGTTTTTTTATTTCCAATAAACGTTCGCGCCTTTTCTTTAAACTTATTAAGGTAGTAACATGACACGTTTCATTTTCGCTGCAGGAGTCCATTTCACTTTCCATTTTGATCCTAAAAGTAAATAAGAATCATTTTTTATGTGAGTTTAAACAACACGTAACCCACACTTATTCAAACAGCAAAACCGCGTAAATGCATTACCAAGGTTACAAAGACGAAACAATAAAGTTTAAAATAGCAGTCTTATAAATTATTTAAGGGATTTAAGGGATTTATAATAAACTGTATGCTACCCTGTAGCTACCCTGTAGCATACAGTTGCACAATTTAAATACTTTAGTGTATTTTGAAAAAAAAATATTAGATATTAAGAGGTTAGAATGGTAAAAAGAACTAAACTTGGGTTATATACCGATTTTAATTTAAAATATACGAATAAAACATTACATTTACACTTACCTGATGTTGGCAATGATAATTTTTAAGTAAATACACAGTTTTACTGCAAAATTAAACAACAATCTCTGTGCCGGTGTTACCAAATCACATACGCGGTGTTGAAACTTGCTCGCGACAGATACGCAGTGTTGTTATTTGGCGATTTCTGGCTTCCGATTGGTCGAAATGAAGTCGTTTCAAGTCGGTGGCAGCCTATCAAGATTAATGCGTGAATTGCCCGCGAAAACTTAAAATGGCTACATTTGTCATATACGCGGAATTATCCAATGCTAGTTACGCGGATTTGAACTATCCCCGACGCAATGGATTATCATGATCAAAATTACGATTATGATTTTCACATGTTTCTTGTAAAAATTTTGGTCGTGAAGTGAAGTGACAGTTCTTTTCTTAGTTTGTCTTGGCGGTAGGCAAAGTGAACAACGTCCATTCAGCCTACTGCTCGATAAAGGCAGAAACACACTTACTCAAAAGTGCACAGATTAAAGAAAATGGGCGCGAGATAAAAACGACCAGAGAGACAACCCATAAAAATCTTCTATCTCGCTCTTCGAGCGAAGGAGGTCCATGTGACGTTTTTAACACGTTACAAGTGTTGTGGTTTTCTCTAGAGCTCGGTATATCCCTCATATTAATATCTCCTGTGAGGGACAGGTGTTCCCGAATCATGACAAGGTAAAATTTCTGGGTATGGTATTAGACTGTAGATTAACTGGGGTCCCCCATATTAACTACATTGTTAAAAAATGTGAACGGAATTTAAATATAATTAGAGCACTCTCGGGTGTATGGTGGGGAGCCCACCCAAGTACACAAAAAATGATGTTTAATGCACTTGTCCGCAGCCTCTTGGATTATGGATCTTTCTTACTCGAACCCTGTAGCAAAATAGCTCTAAAATTGTTCGACAAAATTCAATCTAAGTGTCTACGTATTATTTTAGGTGCCATGAAGTCATCTCCAATTAATGCAATGCAGGTAGAAAGCGTCGAGCCTCCTTTAGAATTTCGGCGACAGTATATGTCAGACAAATTTATATTTAAAATTTTCGAACGCTCATCTCATCCACTAATTCCTAAACTTCATCAGTTAAACCAACTGATTCCTTCAAGTAGCTACTGGTCCCACAAAAATCTCCCATGTCTGTTAATTAGTTTTAGAAAGTTATTACAACTACCATCCCCTGTCTATCAATGTAGGCTCAATCCTTTATTTGAAACCCCATATCAAGCTTTAATTTATAATCCTAACATAATCTTGGACATAGATATTGGTAAAAATTCTCCAGCAGCACAAAACATCTTGAATTGCAGACTTGGGTCTCAGTGGCCTGATTGGCTTACTATTTATACGGATGCTTCAAAACTAACAGATGATAGTCACGTCGGGTCAGCAGTGTGGGTTCCAAAATATAATATCATTCTTGACTTCAAATGTTCTCAATAGTCTTCGGTGTTCACTGGTGAAGCTATCGCTATTTTAGAAGCCCTCAAATTTATTCAATCCCATAGTCTTAATAAAGTAATAATTTTTTCAGACTCTAAAAGTTGTCTCCAAGCCATAATGAGTAATCAGTTCAGCTCTAAATCAAAATATCAATTTATACTGACCATTAAAACTATTTTATTTGAATGTCATCGGCAAGGTTTACAAATTATTTTGGCATGGATCCCTGGGCATACTGGTATAGTGGGAAATGAGACTGTTGATTCCTTTGCCAAACAAGCTACACTTAGCGGATCTCTCAATCACTGTGGCACTTACCCTAATGACCTAGCTTCTTTAGCTAAAAAGCAGTTGCTTACAGAGTGGTCAAAATTTTGGAAGGAATCAAATAAATCAAAAGGCAAGTTCTATGCGAATATTCAGCCAGATATCCCTCATTCTCCATGGTTTACCAAAATGCGAAATGCCAAAAAAAGTGTTGTTTCCACATTATGCAGACTAAGACTTGGTCACGTATGTACTCCCGTTTTCCTGGCCAAGATTAGGGTGAGGGACAGTTCCTTGTGCGAGTGTGGTATCGACGAGGGTACCCCAGATCATATCTTTTTTAATTGCTCCAAAAATAGCCATTCCCTCTATTCATTGCTTCCGTCACATGTCCATCTTCCAACAGATTTTTCAACTATATTACCTTTAGTTTATTCAGATTTTGTGAATATTCTGTGTATGTATATTGATTCTAACAATATTAAATTGTAGATATAGTTTCACTGGTACTCATATCTCAGCTTTATTACTTATTGTTTCAGGCAGCTCAACATATTATACCTTAACCTTTCCTTTCTGTTTTTCCCTATTCTTTTCCCAAATCCTAGGTCCTTGTACTTGCACAAAGCCCTTCCACACCATAAGCAGAGTTTTAGACAATAAACAAGCCCTCACCGAACAAACATAGACAAGAAATTTTGGACACAAACACCAGATATTGGCCAAATCCTGAGGGAGCCATCACTGAAGAAATCTAATCTAATAAAAATAACCTAAAGAAAAACAAATAACATTTCGTTTTGTCTTATTCTATATCTTATCTACAGTATTTACAATATATTTATAAATTGGTTTAAAATAGCATGAGTTGGAGAGAAAATCTTCAATGCGGCGGGGAAAACAATTGCTCTGGTCTTCTGATTGAATATCTTGCAACTCGCAAATTAGTAGTAGACGTTGGATGTTAAATTCAGGACATGAGAAAATTACGTGATTAATGTCTGCATGCGGAGTCTGGCAATATCTGCATTTGTCGTTCGACAGAATTTTAAGCCTATGCAAGTGAGTTGGAACCAAACAGTGTCCAAAGCGCAGCCTGTTAATAGTTGTAATAAATTTTCTCGACTCACATATTGCATTATTATACCATGGCTTGTTTGGCAAACTTTTCTGTATTGTTGCGTACCATTTCCCTTTGGAATTGTTCCAGTGGTTCCAATACTTAATCCACAAATATTTAATTTCATCTTTCACTGATGATAAGTGATCTTTGTATGGTATTGGAAAGGTAGAGTGATCCTCTGGGTTATTTGCAATTAATGCTTTATCCACAATCTCATTTCCAGCAATGCCTCTGTGGGAGGGAACCCATAAAAATTGCACTTCTCTCTTCTGTATATACAAGTCATATAAAAGGTCTCTTATTTTATATATAATATGATTTACCTTAGAATCTAGCCTATTACTTTCTAATGCTAATAACACACTTTTAGAATCAGATATGACAAGATAATTATGTACATTATTTACAAAAGAGTCTGCTTTTAAAATATAGCATAAAGCTTGATAAATAGCATAAGCCTCAGATTAAAATACACTGGCTTTGTTATTCAATGCATATACTTACTTTAATAAAGTTTAGCTGAGGGTCATAGAAGCCACACCTAACTACATCTTTATGACACTCCTTTGAACCATCTGTGAAAATTTTATAAAATTCATTTCTGTTTTTGACAAATTGTAAATAATCATTATTATTCTCAATATTAGGTAAATGGACTATAACTTTTAGCAAGTATAAAGCGTCATATTTGCATTTATATATAGGCCAAATATTATCACTAGCTATAAACATATGTACACATTTTTCTCTGATATATGTCATTATGGTACACATTTCAGGTAATTTACTACTAATAAGATCATTTGTAGAAACTATAGAATCTGTTATGTTATTTGCAAGTTCTGAAGGGAGAATCAAATTATTAACAATATGACTATTGTTAGCTGACAGCTGTTTAATTGAGAAATTTTGTGCTAACTGAAATCTTCTTAATGTTAATGGATGAATACAAGTTTCGGCTTCTAATGCATTTATTGGAGTTGATCTCATAGCACCACTAATGATTCTTAGCCCAACATTTTGGATGACATCTAATTTTTTCAATAAACTAGGACTGGCATTGAAGTAGGCAAGACAGCTATAATCAAAATGACTCCTTACTAGGCTTTTGTATAATGTGGACAATGTTTTGGGATCAGCACCCCAATAAACTCCAGCTAAACATCGAATGATGTTAATACCTTTCAAAGCATTTTTTGATATATAATTTATATGCTGCTCAAATTTTAGTTTGCTATCTACAATAACACCTAAAAATTTATGGCTACTAGTTTGTGGAATCAGTAAATTATTATATTTGATATGCACTGAATTATCAGAGCCAACTACCAATACAGCACTTTTAGATGAATTAATATTAAGTTTTAATTTATATCTATAGTAATACAATAACTGTTCTAATGATAAATTTAGTTTTTGTACAGCTAAGTCTACATTTCTATTAACACTATACAATAAAAGATCATCAGCAAATTGCAAGACTTTAACTTCAGGATTTATATACGTCATTATTTGTGACGTATATAAATTATACAGCATTGGAGACAGACTAGCCCCCTGCATTAATCCTTTATAGGATGTACTAGGTCCATGAATAATATTATTATATTTTACGTATAGAGTTCGACCATTCAGAAAGTTATAAATCCATTGTATTAATTTTCCAGGAAAATTTAAATCATACAACACTTGACACAGGCAATCTATATCAACATTGTCATATGCACCCTGAACATCAAGGAATACACACACTGCCTGGGATCGAGAATATAAGCAATTTTTCATGTCAGATATATAGCTAACAAAGCTCTCGGAAGAACTACGTCCTTTACGGAAGCCAAATTGATTATAAGGTAAGATTCTATTTGATTGTATATAATGATCTAATCTTGCTTTGAGCATTTGTTCAAAGAGCTTACCCACACAAGAAGACAATGAAATAGGTCTGTATGAGTTGTGATCACCTGTTGGTTTGTCTGGCTTTAATATTGGAATGATACACTGAGTTTTCCATGATTCTGGAACTACCTGATTTTCCCATAGTGAATTAAAAATATTTAATAGTACAGTTTTTGCTGATATGTGTAATTTCTTTAATATTACATAAGGGATATTATCTAGGCCTGGAGCTGTATCTTTTCTAGATCTAAGGGCTAAAATAAGCTCATTTAAGTCAAATGCTTTTAATAAATAACTATTGACTGTATCAGGGTTAGAACTATTTTTGTTAAAAAGAAAACTTATTTTATCAGATCTATTTGCATTCTCTGGTTCAGAAAACTTTTCAATGAACTGTGGAATCCAATCATCATTTTTTGAATAAACTCTATTTACAGCTCTCTTAAATCGTCTCATATAATTCCATATTTGTGAAATAGGAGTATACCTATTAAAGGATTCACATAAGTTGTGCCAGCTATTGCATTTTTCCTCCTTAATAATAAGTTTTTTCTTGGCATCAATTTTTTTAAATGCTATGTAATTATCTAATGTCATGTTACTTCTGTATGTTTTCAGGGCATCCCTAGAGTTTTTAACAGCATCTGCACACTTACTGTTCCACCAGGGGGCTGGGCTATGTCTCACACGGTTGCTATTTTTGTTTTTGGAAATAGGTACGCATTCTTGCTTTAATTTATCTATTAACTGACAGAAGTGGTCATAGGACTCTAAAGGTTTCTTTGTTCAACTCAAAATTTTCAAAATACTCTTTTGATTTAAGGAAAAACTTTGTCCAATCTGCTTTGTGAAAAAGATACCTTTGATTTGTATCACCTACTTGGTAAACCAATGGAGAAATATTTATGTCTATGAATGTTGGGTAATGAAAGCTACCTAGTGGGTCATCGCCCACTCTCCACTGACACAGAGGAGCAAGACTAGAGCTTATACAGCTAACATCAATTGCTGAAGATTTTTTATTAGGACCCTGTACAGTTGTGTGTAATCCTGTGTTCAAGATACATAGATCAGTTTCATCAAATAAAACATATAGTTGTCTACCACGTGCTTTAGTACTTTGACAGCCAAATGCAATATGATGCGCATTAAAATCTCCTGAAACTAGGCATGGTCTAGGAATAATATTCATTATTTTTTTTAACTTATTAATATTAAATCTTCTTTCATTTCCAGGAGGGCAATACGAGCATAAAATGGAGATGGGACCTCTATCAGTGAAAAGACATAGAGCTATACATTGGATCTCCTCATAAAAAGGAATAGAGATTTGGGTGAACTTTAACGTGTCTTTTAATAAGATGCCTACGCCACCACGACCATTTTTGGCATTATTATAGATAAAATTGTAGCCTGGAAATCTAATTGAAGATGTCTTTTTTAACCAAGTCTCATTCAACAGCAATACATCGATGTCATGATCTTGTAGGAAACTGATTACCAAGGGTTTTTTACTTATTAAACTTTGAATATTATGCTGAACAATTTTTAAAAATTGCATTGTGACTGTTTCTTTTAAGATTTCCAGTGTTTAATAAAAACTTCTTTAATATTTTTTGTTGTTTTAATTGTATTTGTATTACCCAAGGACACTAGTGTTTCAATAATTGAATTCATAAATTTTTCATTGCTTAAAATTGAATCTATATCTTTATTTGAATTAACTAACTTCTTGATTGAGAAATTAGTGAGGGGAAGGGCAGGAAAATCGTTAACAGCCGAGTTTTTTAACACACTTGTGAAACTTTTCTTTTTGTTATCTACTTTGGCCATTTTTATTGGGCATGACCTAGAAACTGCCAGATGATCCCCACCACAGTTACTGCATTTCAGAACTTCTGAATCACAGTCTCTGAAGCTGTGATCACCCGAGCACTTGGAACATACCTGTTCATTACGACAGACCTTAGCTGAATGGTTGAACTTCAGACATCGGTAACACTGCATAACTGGAGGAACGTATTCATGGACCTTGTATCTCCAATTATCTAGATAAATAAATTGTGGTAATATTGTGCCTGAAAAAGTCACAGAGATTGTTGTTAGGGGAACCAAATCTGAACCAGTTTTCTTCATGAAGCGTTTAACTGAGATGATCTCAGCATCCGCGTTGAGTTTAGAATATATTCTTGATTTCCCACTTCTGTCGGGATATAACGAACTACCCCAACCCTCTCCACAGAAGCTGCAGGAATATATGCCCGCATGCCATTTTGAGCCAAACAATCATGCCATAAAAAGTCATTGGCAGCTGCCGCCTGCTTAAATACTATCATTATTTTGGACGCGTTGACTCTACGTCGTTCAAAGATGCCTTTAACATTCTTAAAAAACTTCGATAGTTGTAATGGATTTTTATTACCAATTTTGTCTTCCTTTTGAATACTCTCCACATAAACTGGAAAATCCGTGAATCTGTTGTCTGGAACATCAGGATAACTCCGTTTGTACCCTGGTTTTGAAAAAGTTTTATATTTGGCGCCA